TTCAGAGGCTTGTCCCAGGAGCCCGGTGGAGGCGAAGGCGGGGCCCCAGGGACCGAAGGCTGCTGCAGACCAGGCGGCCGGAGCAAGAGAGCGCCCAGGCTAGCAGCCCTTGAGCCTAATTTCATTTTCCCTCTCCAAAACTCTCTCTCACGCACACACACCCCCCAAGCCCAGGCCACACCAAGCCTCCCAACTTGCATCCTTTCTTCTCCCCTCCCCTCTGCTCCCCTAGCCTTGGAGGCCCCTCCTCCCGGTGCCGGGCGCTCTCACTGACTCGGGAACCCCAGGCTCCAGCCCTGACAGAGCCAGCAGTGAGCCGGAGCAGGTGATGACCGGCGGAGGCTGGCTTCGAACCCGCAGGCCCTCCTGAGAGGGGCTCGCGGTGCTCTGGGCGCAGCTCGCAGCGCCCCGGGCGGACTGGCCAAGGAAACAAAGGGGAGCGCAGCCAGGGGGGGGCACTCCCTCCCTCTCCCGGCCTCCCTCCCCCAGGTCTTGAGCTCTGGGGACCCCGCCCCCAGACCGAGCCTGTCTTTGAAAATGGGGATTTAGGGGCCACTTCCACTCCCCGCTCCCCCCACTTGTTGCGCGTGGCCAGAGTCTCTGCCTCCTTCCTAGCTCGCCTTCAGGGTTCTGATTAGAGCAGGCGCCGCGTTACCGGCGGGGCTGTGGGAGGGCTGTGGGCTCCTGGCCTCCCCTCGCAGACTCCCTACCGGGCCTCGGGGTCCACCGTCTTGGGGTGGGGGGCGTGAGGGGAAAGAACCCCTTCAGTTCTGGCCCGGCGAGGGTGGCTGGGGATCCTTTGTCCCTGCCGACCCGCTGGGCCGGCTGGGTCGCCTGGCGATAGGAAGGGCTGCAGGCTCCAAGCCCTGCCTTGGTCTCTAGCCGAAAATTCCCACCTAAGTACGCGGGCCTCCCTGGTAGCCATAGAAAGCACCCCAAAGCCGAGAAGGGGTTTTAAGAGAAGTTTTAAGGACGGAGTAAAAATCCTCGTACCCGCAGCAGAGGCGAGAAGTTGGCACAGATTGCTGTGAACTCGGACCAGGGTTTCTGAGCTGCCCACCCATTCCCAGCAGCGAGTACTGGTGTACCTTTCCGGGCCAGTAAATAAGGATTTCTTTTAAATTTTAAAAATAATTGACTTATTTATAATGGTTGGCAGGTTCTCTGAGACTTTCTTCATTTAATACATTGTTCCTCCTGGGGTGCATTTTAGTGAGGGATTAACTTCCACAACAATTTCCCCTGCCTTTGAAAGTGCAGGGCTTTCTGCTCCTCCAGCCCAGCCGGAAGAGCTTAAGCAACGTTACCAATAGATGCTGCATTAGCATTGAAAAAACAAAAAGAAAAAAGTTGAAGGGGAGCATTTGACAGCCCATCCCGTCTGCTCTGGAAACCAAGGGCTTCCACGGCAGTGTGGAGACTAGACTTTGAGGATTTATTTGTCTCCTTTCCTGGATTTCACTCTCTCCAACTCTCACTTTCTAGGATTCACCCCTCTGCCTACAGGTGCCTCCTCTCTGGTCTCCTGTCCTGTTTTCCTTTCCTCCAAGCCTGGCCAGGATGAGCTCTGTCTCCAGCCCAGGGGTTCCTAGTCTCTGTGGGTGGTTCCAAAACCCCCGTGGTGCAGGTGTCTGTTGAGTGACGCAGCTTTCTAGGCTAGTCTGAGCTGAACCCAAGCAAGGCTCAGAAAATAGATCAAAACCAAAACCCCAAACGTGTGTGTTCCTCCCTGGGACCCTTGCTGTTTCTCCCAATCATCCCTCAACACATCCCCTCCTGCAGCATTCCGACCTAAGTGCCGGGCACTTTTGCAGTAGTTCAGCAATTACATTTTCTTTCCCATGGATGCCATCTACAACCTACTGTTCAGGATGTTTGTCAGACTCACCATCCACTTTGACTTCCGTTAAAACTCTGATCTGCACAAAAATGGATCTCTTAATATATACACCGTGACCCCACCTGCATCTTACTCTTTGAATAACTGTACAGAACAAGGGTATTTAAGTTGTTTGAGGCTGTAGACCCTTTTGGAAGCCTGGTGAAGCTAGGGAATTCTCATAGTACTGTGTTTGCTGCCCACGCTTGCAAAGGAGAAAATTATAACTTTACATTAGAAGGTGCTGAAAATAAAGATGCATTTTCCCCCCATCCAAGTTTGCAGACTGTTGAATTCTAAGCATTGACTCTGTGGACTCCAGGGATGAGAGGCAGAGGTCTTATACACAGAAACTGTTAGTACGCTACACACTCACTTACTAACTTTACCTTGAAAAGCTTTGAACATGTGTATGGCTTTTTGTGCCAACAGCAAAAGGGCAGATACATCTGATTCAGTCAAATTCACTGACAGTTACCTGGCCCTGTGGAGCTCCCTCCCAGATGCAGCCTTCTCTTGAAGCACTGAAAACATCTGGACATTTCTCGAGGGACAGAGATACGGAGAGAAAAATCCATTGCACCCACTAATATTTATAAACAGGAAACTCTGGGTGATTACATAAGGGCCTTCAAGGCTTATCCCTGAAATTCACACCTAAGCAGTATCCAGCTAACCACAAAAGACAGGTGGGGCATCAATGGGGGGGGGGCATATTTTAGTTTTCAGAGACATTCCTTTGAGTCTTCCAGTGCCCAGATAGCAAAGAGTTCAGGTTTGGCTGACTATTGATTGGGCAGGCTTGGGAGTAGTATCCCCCTCAGTGGTGATCACAATTTTTCTTTTAGAATGTTATCTCACCACAGCTACTTCCAATGCCAAATGCTTGGCTGCAACATTCTTTTCCTAACCATTCTAGGGTTTATTGTATTATTGAGTCCACTTTCCTGCTTCATTTGAAAAAAAAAAAAAAAAAAAAAAAA